AAAAAAAAAAAAAAAAAAAAAAAAAAAAAAAAAAAAAAAAAAAAAAAAAAAAAAAAAATATATATATATATATATATATATATATATATATATATATATATATATATATATAAAAAAAAAAATTTTTTTTTTTTTTTTTTTTTTTTTTTTTTTTTTTTACATATTTATTTAACCTCTGAAAATTTTTATTCACAGTTTACTAATGGTCATGTGACACAGGTAAACCAATAAAATATTCAATTAATCACTTAATTAGACAGGAGAATATAATTCAGAATGTAAATATATTTCATGTTGTTGCCAATAAAGAATCTATATTTTTTCTCATTTTATTTTAGATCCGTGTGGTACAAAATAATCAAATAGGCTCAATATATAGTACATGTGAGGTCAAAAAAAAAATAATTTAAAAGTAATCCACAATGTAATCAGATTACACTACTTAAAACAAAGGTCTCAGAGCTTTGCAATGACATGAAGGTGAGCACTTATTGACAGAATTTCATTCTTCATCGAAATTTGCAGTGTGCACGTGGAAAAACTAAAAAGCTACATCAGTGGTTCTCAACTGGTTTGGCCATGGGACCCACATTTGTACATGGTCATCAAGCCGCGACCCAAATTTTTAGGAACTATAATAAAATTTTAGGAATTATAATTAGTTTGTATTCATTTGTTAACATACACAAGTACAGATAAATCATAAGAAAATCACCAAGACTTACAAATAAACAATATTTTACTGCTGTCATTAAACAAAATGTATCAAATTATAGAAATATTACAGAGTAAAAATGTCAAATACTGTCAACAGTTTCCATTAACTAAACTGAACTGTTAAAAAAAAAACATTAACACTGATCCGGTTGAACAGAACAAACCAACAAATTAAAGTAAAATTATTAAAATAGTCATAACCATTTTTATAACATTCACCAGTTATTTGCTCTTCTGCTTTTGTGTGGGCTTTCTTGGCCTTTGCTACACGGTGAGCAGAGTGCCTGTACTTGTTTTAAACTTGAAGCTGTTCGGCACTTTTGTGATGCTCTCAGCTCCTAGAGTCATCTTTGAGAATAGTCCACAGGTTTGTCCTTGCAACTGGGATGTTTAGTATCTAAATATCGTTTTAATAAAGAAGGTTTCATGCTCTCGTGTGAGAGCACCTCATTACATATGACACACTGAGGATTTAAGCCTTTTTTGTCATCGATATAAGTAAATCCACACTTAACATTTTCAGGGTCGTACTTGCGCTTCGACATATTTGTTGCTATAATTAAATAAAACTTCACATTTCAAATGGTACGGTTGTCGCATGTACATTTCAAAATAAAAGTCCCATATAAGCAAAATAAGTTAAAAATTTAAATTTTGTTGTTTTATTGATCACCCACTCCGCGACCCACTGAAAATGTTCCCGCGATGACCCACCAGTTGAGAAACACTGTGCTACACGCTGTGTCCTCACTACACACGGCACCGCATCATGTGTTAAAAGGTCTCTTTTTTAACGTTTCTATTTCCAAGACAAAACAACGGCATAAACTACTATGACGATGATCACCTCAGGTGCTGATTATGGGCTTTATTTAGTGTTAAATGCTCCCAATGTGAGTTTAAATAGCATTTTACGGGACATTTATTGCCATACTACTGAAAGCAGCAGCAGATCAGCAGATATTGAAAATTAAATAACCAGAAAAATATCCAAACAACATCAGTCACTCAGTAGCCTATTAATAATGTTAAAAAGGTTTATTATGTATTCATTAGATTATAACGTTTCTCATTTCATTAGGAGTACAGTGGCTGATTATTAAATGAATGGCTAGTATTTAAATGTTTCTGTCATGTCGCATGTTGCACGAACAGACAAATGCTTGTCGGTAGAATCCTGACGCATCGTGTGTAGCTATGACATGGTGTTAGACACCAAAAAACGACAATGGATGAATCAAGTCACTAAAAAAGGCAAAGTACTAAAGAAAAAAACACATCAGCATACAATAGCCAACTTACCTTAAACTCCTTTTCGATGTTAGCCAGTTTGGCAAGCTCATTGCTCAACTCCAGTGCGGTCAACACAGGGTCTTCGCTGGATAAAGACAAATACGCCGGGCTGGCGAGTCCACGGTACGCATTAATCCTAGAGCGCGAGTGGCTAAACGAATCTTTCCTCTGCTTCTCCGTGCAGTCCGCGCACTTACAGAAATAATCGTGCGGGCGCTCAATCCTGGCGCCCTTCAACAGCAGCATGTGCACCACCTCGTATTTCTGACAATGTGCAGCCAAAATAATAGGCGTGATATCAGGAGAAAACCGCGTCCCGTCCTCGTCGTACGAGTAGAAATCATCATCCTGCAGCTCACAGGGGCTGCGGGTCAATCGTTCGCCGTTCCCAAAAGACGGATGCCCCAGCAGGGCCTCCACGATACGCACGTAACCTTTGGAAATGGCCAGCAGGAGGGCGTCCCCGACTCGGGCCAGGTTGTCCCGCCGCAGGAGCAGCTCAGTGACCTCCAGGTGCTCGTTTCCGACGGCCAGCTGCAGTCCGTTCTGGCCCATATAATCCATACAGTTCACGTTGAGAGTGAGAGATTCTTCCAGCATCTTGCGGACCACAGGGATGTTGCCATATTCGGCTGCATCCAGAAAGCGCTCTTCCTCTGGGGTGAGGCTGGTGCCGCGGGCGTTGAACATGAACGCTGGTCCACGGATGGCTTGCCGGCGACCCTTTTCTCTTGGGAGGGTCATCCTGCGATGGGGGAAACTTTCAGAGGATTTCCTGCAAGTCAAAAGTACAAGAATTTTAGAGTCAGTAATAGTCTGCACATTTTCCTCTGAATTACAGGGGTGTATCTTGAAAATTTGAGTGGACATCTTTTTTTTTTTGATAAATTCTATACATTTGTAGTTGTAAATTGTACAAATTTTAAGAACAAGAAGATCAGAACTGCAAGAATCGCAAGATTTAAACTCAAGTATTATATACTTTCATAAGATATAAACTATTCTGACTTTATGCCGTTCAGTTTTGATGTTTTTTGAGTGTTTGCAACTCAATTATCACAGTTGCAATTTTAAGCTTTCCTGCAATTACTCAAGATTTTTTGCTAAATTAGTTTACATATCATAATTTGCACTTCTTTTCTCTCTAAAACTAAACAAAAATGCAGCTGTATGCTCTAAAAACGTTAAGAAAAATATGTCAGAACTGCAAGTTAGGTATAAAGTTAAGACACAAGATATAAACCCACAATTCTGAATCCATGCCAAGCAGTTTTAATGTTTTCTCAGAATTATGAATATTTGCAACTCAATTATCATAATTGAAATTGTAGGCTTTGCTTTAATTACTCTCTGTTTTTTTTTTTTTTTTTTTTTTGCTGAATTTGTTTATAAATCACAATTTGAATTTCTTTTTTTCTCTCAAAATAAAAAGAAATGCAGTTGTAGAAAAAAAATGAAAAAGCTGAGTTTAAGAAAAACGTCAGAACTGTAAGCTAGGTATGAAGTTAAAACTGCAAGATAAAAATACAAAATAAAAATGCAGTTTATCTCAGAAAAAGAAATGCAGTTTCTCTCAAAACAATGCAGTTTGTCTCAGAATTTTTTTAAAATCATTATATCTAAAAAAAAAAAAGAAAACTGCAGCTTTTCTCAAAACAATGCAGTTTTTTCAAAAACAATGCAGTTTATCTCAGAAAGAAAGAAAAATGTAGTTTATCTAAAAAAAGAAGTGCAACTTTTCTCAAAAAAAGTTAAATGCAGCTTTTCTTAAAACAATGCAGTTTCTTTGAAAACAATGCAGTTTTTCTGAAAAACAGAAATGTTGTTTAGAAAAAAAGAAAAAGAAAAATGCAGATTAATCTCAGAAAAAAAGAAAAACAATGCAGTTTTCCATAAAAAAAAGAAATACAGATTTTCTCAAAAAAAAGAAAAATTCAGTTTTTCTCAAAAATTTTAAAGCAGTTTTTCTCAAAAAGAGAAATGCAGTTTTTCCTCAAAAGAATAAATGCAGTTCTCTCAAAATTTTAAATGCTGTTTTTCTCAAAAAAAAGAAGAAAAAAAGAAATGCAGATTTTCTCAACAACAACAACAACAAAAGAAATGCAGTTTCTCTCAAAAAATGCAGTTGTAAAATCTAGAATTTTAAGAAAAAAAAAGTCAGAACTCCAAGCTGGGCATGAAGTTAAATTTGCAAGATATAAACTCACAATGCTGACTCAATGATCAAAAATGTTTTATTCTAATTCTGAGCATTTGCAACTCAATTATCAAAATTGCAATTTTAGACTTTCCTGCAATTACTCTCGATATTTTGAGAAATTAGTTTTTATATCTCAATTCAAACACTAATTTTTTTTTTCACAATCAAAACAATCAATTTTAGCTTTTCCTGTTACTCTCAATTATTTGTTAAATTAGTTTATATATCTGTAATAGTTTATTTTATAATTAACACTTTTTTCTCTCTCTAAGACTCTAAGACACAAATCTGCAATTGCAAGATGTAGAGCATTAATTCAGAAAAAGATTAAATCTAAAAATATTAGCATAGTAAATAAATAAACAAGCATATATTAGAGTCCGACCCAACGCTTCGAGCTCATCCAAGTGATATCCTGGTGAATTGGCTGCTCGGTTAAAACTGATTTCAGTCTTTGACGAGCATCCAGCAAGTCTGGCGTCTCACTGAGAGCTGACAAGTGGTGTATCATCAGGGACGCGATCCCTCGATCCAGTCCCGCTGAAAGCGAGATCCCCCTCAGGATTTTAATAGCTTTTTAATGAAACGCAACAGATGCCAATCAGACTACAGGTGGGTGTCTTATTGGAGTGACGTCTGTGCTACAGTCAAGCTGAGTCACTTTCAGTAAGACCTTCAAGTGAACACAACTATCAATAACAACAAGAGGAAATTGAGTTTATATCGGTTCACAAAACACTTATTGGGATATGTAATAAAATATGTCGACGTCTTGGCCTTGTGGCTAGTTCACAAACTCATGATGATATGTTTAAACATTGTGATGCTATTAGGAAAGGGTGTAAATCCTGCCAGTTCAGTCTGATCACTCTCCTATACATCACTGTGCTCTATAATTATTCTCTTTATTCTCTATTTTCACCTGGGTATACTCATCCCGAGGTCCTCAGATTATGCGGAGTCACTGATTGGATCCAAGACCAGCGACGAGATGATCCCAAGGAGGTTTCCATATCCGGGACCAGGCCATATCTTGAGCTGCTGCTGCGCTGATGGTCGTGGGGAGTGGAGATCATGAGTATGATTCCAGCGACACTCCAGGGACAGACGAATCTTCGCTAAGGCCATCTTCCAGTCTCCACCGCGGTGACTGAAGCTCTGCACAAGACTTTTGGCCAGCGGAGAAATTAAAATGGTCGTGCCCAACTGAGTCTGGTTCTCTCAAGGTTTTTTTTCTTCACTCCCATCAGGTGAAGTTTTTTTTCCCTCTCCGCTGTCGCCACTGCCTTGCATGGTTCAGGATTGGTAGAGCTACGCATCGATGAATTTGCTCTTCAGTGTTTGAACTCTCAGTAATGATTAAATCACACTGAACTGAGCTAAACTGAACTGAACTTAAACACTAAAAACTGAACTACACTGTTCCAGTTACTATGACCATTTATGTGAAGCTGCTTTGACACAATCTACATTGTAAAAGCGCTATACAAATTAAGCTGAATTGAATTGAATTGAATATAGTGTAAAAAAAATGTTGGGTTCATGACAATCGATTAGTGTTGGGACAACACAAAGTAATAAGTTCACCTTTTAGTTTTTACACATTTAAGTTGATTGAACATAAAACATTTTAACAAACATTACTTTTTAAACAAGTACTGCTTTTCTTACAAATAAACTGCATTTAATTTAGAATAATGCCCCAACACTGGTTACTGAGCCGTAATCAAATTAAGTTTTGAATGGAATGATCTGCTTTAACACAGTATAATCCATAAAAGCACATATTTCCAGCAAATCTCATGAGCACTTGGAAAAAATGCAAGGGAAATCATATTTATTCTGCAATCATTATGAACATCAAACCGCTTCAGCTCAATTCCCATTGATATGGCAATGTTTGAGTAAATGAAGCCAGAGTTTGTTTAATTTAGGGTCCGAATTTTGTCTGAAATGAGATGGAAGGCGGTCTGCAGGATTTACTTGAGCGGGGAAATTCATTTCACACAGCTCAGGTCTCTGGAGCACCACGTCACAAGAGACCAGAGACCAGGAGAAGCATTCAGCTTCAAATCTGCAGCACAAACCCTTCATGCAAACCCCTCCACCCTGACAATTCGATAAACGCAAAGCGCTCGCCCTCTCCAAAAACCTCTCAAACCAACAAGCCAAAATGACTTTAATCTGTGCTGGGGAGAGATATGAATTAATGAGAAGGTTAAACTGCTTTCGTAATGTCCTGTGACCTGTAATAGAAAAAAAAAATATTGTCTTCCTGTTCACACGTAATATATTTTAATGTGAAGACTGAAAATTGAATAAAGTCAGACCAAGTTTAATTGCTTTAATTCTCCGGAGATGCTCAGTTTACACACAGAACACAGACAGCCTCTGTGAGTGAAAGGATCTCAAGGATGGGCTCACAGGCATTTTTAAAGACAATGTTAAAATGTTTTAGATGAGAATTTCTCTACAGCTTCTTCACTGTTAAACAACCAGTAGATTGTGATAGCCCATTGATTATAATGCATTTGATCTTTACTTTAGCAAAACTTCAATCAATCATCAATATATAATTGGCAATCATCAATATATGTAAAACTGTACAAAAGCAAGCACATCCCTCTTGGTTGCTGAGCCAAAAACGCAAAAGGTGCAAATTAAGGGCTCTATTTTGATGGTCCATGCGCAGAGCGCAAAACGCAGGGCGCAAACGCTTTCAGGGCATGTCAGAACGCATTTTTGCCAATTTAAGGATGGGAAAATCCACTTTGCGCCATGGCGCATGGTCTAAAAGGGTTGAGTTTATTTTCTTAATGAGTTATAGGTGTGTTTTGAGAATAAACCAATCAGAGTCTCATCTCCCATTCCCTTTAAGAGCCAGCTGTGTCGAACCATAAGCGCATTCACTATTTACAGGACGCAAAGTAAGGCCCCGTTTACACTAATGCGTTTTAGTTTGAAAACGCATAAGTTTTGCTACGGTTACGCCATCCGTCCACACTACGCCGGAGTTCTCGAGCGCCGAAAACGGAGCGTTTCGAAAACGCTGAAGAGGCCGTTTTCATTCTGAAACGCAGCTGCTCCGTCTCAGTGTGGATGATGGAAAACGGAGACATTTGAAAACGGAGGCGGGGCTGCAGACATTCGCCTCTCTGATTGGGGCTTTTCCTGAATATTAAGTAGCCTAACACGCACAGTTCAGTCCTGCATCTTCTCCGTCTAAGTTAAAACTTCGCAAGTTTGATCATGGCTGCAGTCTCTTCTTCTCAGTTTGATATGGAAAACAGACTATACCGAGGACACGGGTAAATATTCAAAGGGAACAGTGTACTTTATAACTTCATTCACATCACCCTGGCTACGTTGTTTTACTTTCTCAACAATAAAATGTAAACATGATATAAGGAACTGCCTATTTTCATTTTAATATTAACAACTAAACAGACAGCAAAAATGTTGAGGCGCCGTGCTGCAAATATGAGCGTCATCTTCACTGTGTGGATATTTATAACAAAACGGAGCCGATAACTGCCTCCTTTCAATTTCAGTGAAAATACGAAACACACCCTCTC